GATCAAGACTTAATTTAATTAATGTCAGTGTGGTACACTGGTGAAGGCATTGGACTTGGACTGAAGAGACCAATGTTCAGGTCCACCCTCTGCCACAGAGCTCATTGGCTGACTGAGCCAGTGGTTCTCAGCCCAACTTAGTTCAATCATAGGATTGTTTTGTGGGAAAAAATGGACTAGAGTGCTTTGTATGACTTCATGAGCTCCTGAAGGAAAAGCAGGATATAAATCTTAGCAGGCAAAGAAACAAATGATAAAGCCAGACAATTAGCAGGTTATATTTTTTAGCGGGGTTTTTAAAAAAACAATTTTAAATTAATCAAAGGCCAAATCTAATATTTCATTTTAATTATGTTTTAACGATAGTATTGGGGTATTTTTGTATTTGTTTTTTATCAGGCTGTCAGCCGCCCTGAGTCCGTAAGGAGAAGGGCGGGGTAAAAATTCAATTAAATAAATAAATAAATAAATAAAATATAAATCCATTACATTTTATTTATATGTTGTTGGGGTTTTTTTATTAGGCAAAAGCAACAACTATCAAGGAAGCTCTAGCCAAATGGGTAAGTAGAAAATATATTGTGTGTTCTTAATTAGATGGATTTTCTTTATCAAGAAAAGTGATTTTCATTGTGCTTTTTTTATTTCATGCAAAACAATTGTTTTCAAGGAACCCAGAAAAGCTATGTAATCAAACTTTTTAGCTTATTTAGTAGTTGAACTGCAAATGTACTTCTGTACATTTAATATTGATATAACACTGACTATAAGCTGAAAAATGCCTCTTATAGACATTCCATAATCATTGTATGAGGAACATATATTAAAAGCCACGTCAAGAATTCATAAAAATTAAGCTTTGTTAATACATAGTAAAGGGAACAAATGTAGTGGATAAACAGCTAATGGTAGAAACGTTTGGGAAGGCTTTATTAACAAAGTGGGAAGAGAAGCAGTAAAGTGCTTTGATTATTGGGCTGCATATCTCAGAATAAGGCACAGAGGACCTTATTGAAGTTGTATAGAGTAATAAGGAAAAGTAGAAATATTGGGAACGGTAAGTAAATGGATTTAGTTAATTGCTCAGAGATAGAATGCTGAAAAATGGGGATTAGAAATGTGTGGTTGGTACAAGTAAGAACATGGAGAAAACAGGAAATGTATTTTGTATCCAGCTAAGAACAAAATAGCCCCCCCCCAATCTAATGGAATATTCCATGTTGGTGGCATATGAGCAAATGAAAACTCAAAACTGATTGTTATATATTATGTTCAGGACAAAACTTTAATGTTTCAATGTTCTGGTCAGGTCAAGTGCTACAGCATTCCAAAGCTTAAAAGACAATTGGTGACTTCGTCCCTATTTATCTGTGTTTTACAATGGTGTGGACAATAATTCCATGGCTCTTCAAGCTCGTGTTTGGAGACTACCCTACTAGCTCACTTTTGGACCCACTATGCTCACTGGACCCTTTACTCCACTGGTTCCTTTAGGTCACCTCCATAACCACCTTCTTCCTTTTTATCCTCAACCCCTAAGAGAAAGTGGATTAAGTGGGTACAAATTCAGTCCACTTTTACTTCAGCATGTGTGAGGGAAGAGCTTTATCCCTCTATTTAGCTGTGAATTCAGCTTTTAATAGTAATAGCACACGATACCATAGGGAGAGCTATCATACCATTAATAGCCAATTTCTTTACTGCTGTCACCCTCCCTGCCCCTTGAATAGTGATTTGGCCCTCCCTCTGACTATCATCCTCCCTCCGAAAGCTCTTGTCCTTTTCTCATAGTTGTTTAGGAGAGTCATTTTTATAGGAGAGATTGAATGGATGAAATGGAGGCAAGTAGAGGAGAGGTCTTAAGGATTTAAAAAAGAAAAAGTCTTTAAAATTTGTGATTGCATCTAAGAAGCAGCATAGCAGTGGTATCACTATCTCTATGCCGATAATTTCTGATCGGAAGAATTAATTCCATCAAACACATATAGAGAAATTCTCTTTTGTGACAGGCAAATAAAAGTGTTTTTTTAAAACCTGAAAGGGGTAGATCTGAAAAGGGGGTGAGGAGATTCCTTTCTCTCCTTATGTTACTTTGAAACGGATGCCAAAACTCAAAAGGAGCACATTTGAACTTAAAGGGGATGGGGTTGTGTAGAGGCTGTCTCAGAAACAGACATGTGCTAACCAGCTTCAGTAATAGCAGTGCTACTATTGAGTTCACTCTTTTTTTTAAAAAAAATAAATTTTTATTATTTTTCATTTAAAAAACAGAAACATAAATCTTTTATCACAATATCAACCAAAGAGAATAAAACTAAACAAAACATTCACGGACGTGTCCGGTGTCCCCCTCCTGCACCACCCTCTTCCACTTACACACTCCTTCCTCCTCCCTGTTCTACCACCACTCCTCCTTCCTCCCTCTTCCTACTTCC